TTTTGAATTCATTCGTTACAAACATACAGAAATAAACATGGACTAGAGGCCGTCGTAGTAGCGTTGACCATTCGAGATCATTCTAAAAAGCACGTTAAGCTTTGGAGATTTTTAACATGTTATTAAACGTGTAATCATAGGAAAAAGGAAACGTTTCCGTCAGTTGTAGCTCAACCACTTGCCGATTCATAACTGGTTTGAATGACCCATCCACTTGATCTGTGGCCAACTTTCACGAGATTCCTCGGGGCCGTGGTGTTAGCATAGATTAAAAGAACTTCGAATAGTTAGCAATACTTGACGTGTATTTCTTAAAATATCACTAGATTTAATAATTACGGATCCGCTGGCAAAAAGCACCAATTATCTTTGTTAAATATATTTTAGCCCTCTTGACAAAAGTGATATTAAAAATTATGTCGGCTTTATGTAGCTTACAGGACAAAACAAGGGGAAACTGATAGAAGGCCAAATCATCTTTATAATTAAACTATTAATACGCAATAATTTTATCTTGTAAACTTGCATTATTTAAAGTAATGTTGCCTTATGAGTAAAACACTACTTTTCATAACATGCTTTTAATTATTCTAATTAATTTATATGAAAGTAGGTAAGTTCCGCTTTACTGTTACATAAATCAACGTGATTAAAAATATGAAAAAAAACTTGTGTTTAACGATAATTACAAAATATCCGTTTCGTAGTGAAGGTAGATAATGCGGAGTTGGATTACCTATGAAGACAACCTTCTTTAAAACACAATAAAATAAATATATCAACGCCAGAACAACAAGAACAAAGATTTAACGGGCGAATAAGAAGATATTAATGAAGACAATAGCAGGGTCATTATATTATTAACTAATCTGTAATCGAATGGAAGACATTCTCACAACGTACTATGCCTACGGTTCACGATTTAAAACACCTTTTTTTAGGTACCAAATAAACTTTTATATTTTTCTATTGTAAACGGTTTTCTTAGAAACCGACAGTATAGGCCTGATGGAATTCCTGCTAGCACTTCAAAATAATGTAAGCCGTTATAATTGAAAGCTAGTAAATAATTAAAGTCCTCTGAATATTAATTTAGTAATCAGTCAAACAGTATCTCAAGGGTATTATCTATCAATCTGAGCCCAAACTATAGTATGTCCTATTTACGAGGATATTTTACATTATTTAGAGCTCGAGACAGTTAGGATAACATTAAGAGTCCAGACCTAACACGAACTAAGACGCTGGTATGTCAAAAAAATAATTGGGGCTATAGGAGCTAGCATTACGATTTCCATATAAATCATATACCTATTTGATTTAATTTAATTTAATTTTTTGCGTATATGGAGCCTTACACTTGGAACAGACACGAATTTATTTGAATTTCGAACTGAGTTATAACATACTTTTCAAACTTAAGACAAATATAATAACAAATTCTATGACTTTTATAGTTACAGCCAACAAGATATAGATTACTTATTAATAATATTTGATAATTTATTAAGTGTGAAGCAAGCGGTATTTAATATTGTATTCTGGCATAAAGGGATGAATATGAACAAAGATACTGTAGGTCAGTTATTTAATGGGTAAACGCTAAAGTCTACACCCAGACGATACTAAATGTCAACATGGAGCGACCACAATTGGCTTCAATGCTACACTGGAATTCGGATTGTAGATAAGAGGCACAGTTCAGTAAATGGGTACTCTTACTTAGATCCTACGTACGTCGTCTTACTAAAAGTTTATTAGTGTAACTTCCTTCTTTATTTGTTTTTACGTAATTAAATGTGTTCATGAGTGCCTTTGGTTTAAAAGTGAACAACAGCATTAGTCAACAGCATTTATTTTCAAGAAAGAGTTATTCTTAGATGTATTAATTAATTACAAACATGGTCGAAAAAATGGGAACCCGAGTTAAGAACGTAACGCATAAGTAATTTAAAAAAAAGGTAATCTCACTTTTCGTTAGTGTTCCCCGCAGAATTTTCAATGTCATATTCGTGATCGTGACTTTTTCTATATATAAATTATTATTAATTTTAAATATTAACATTCTAACGAGGTAGCCAACGTTCCACTTCCATAGTATTTAATAGTTTTTTGTTGTCCTTCATCTACGTTTATATGGAAATGTAATAGGTTTGCCAAATCGAATGCCAACAAACCGGTTAAAGAATAATTTACACTCACCTAAAATGTTTTTAAATTTTAATATTTCTTAATACTTTCAATACGTTCAATAACAAGATGAGTGCCAATTAATAACAATACTAGTACCGTAGAACTTTAAGTGTTTTTTAAGTTTTTTAAAAAAAATTCTTTAAATTGGCTAATGTTCTAAACTCCAAAATGGTTCAATTTAGTGTGTACATACACGCTTTAGTATTTATTATTTGTAAACGTTGCCAATTTCGTAATCAAAGAGGTCAATAAACCCTGACGATAGTACCCACGTTCTTTTACTACCTACGTAGGTAGCTATGTTATAGTAAATTGAACTGCAGTATCGTTTAAAAACAATAAACCATCACCTGTAAATTATCTTTATTAATAAGTAATTAATCTTGTTGCCTTACTAAAGTACATATAGTCTGTTATAGTATAATCATTGGAATTTAAAACTTAAGTACCCATTAATTTAAAAAATAAATTCTCGCTGTCAAACTTTTTAAACAAATAAAGAATCCTATGATATGTGAACTTTGCATATGACAATATACTCGTAGTACCTAGTAATAATGTGATGTATGTATATTCTCACTTTTATTTTCTTCTTTCCCTGTTTAAGCTAAACTTTATAAATAAAAAATATATCCAAATAATTCTTGCATTTACTGGTCATAATATGGGCCATGGTCATAAATGAGCAGCGTAAGGCAAAGCTCAAGAGTAAAGCCTTAGAAAGTAGGCTTTGATATTTTAATGCCTATGTATATTTATGTTTCAACTATTATAGATTAATTTCATACCCGTTTTAATGATGAACGAACAATCCTTTTAGCACTATCACAAGCACAACACAATACGTCGAAACAAATTCACTGGTTTTAACGAATTTACTTTGAACGGTCCATGGCGTGATTTAAGGCAGCATTCGCGAGATGAAAGCCTGTTGAAGGCTTTACGAACATACGAAACGAACTAATTTAGGTCACTAGTACATCACACCATTCCACGACACTATACACTCGTTTTCTAATACAAAATCGACTTATTGTACACAAAATTTCCGAAGAAATGGCACAATAACGAATAAAACAATCGCCACACAACCGAGGTACATTTGAACTAAGTTGGACTCGCCATAACCGTTGATCCAGTTGTACTGTCGGTACAACAGTTTTGAGTTGAACGGCTTTACCGACGCCGCTCGTGACGTATATCGTCGTCTCTTACTAAGTGTTAGAAGTGAGAGAGACAGCACTACTCGATATGTCAAAGTGGGAGAAGCCACAACCTGCGGTGGCGCAGAAAAGCCTCAAGCATTTTGTATAACGACAGGTGAATTGTTTACTTGTGTGCGTTTTCTTACTAGTTCTCAAGTATGGATGTTTTTCTTGATTGTTGAATAGTGATAAAATATTCGACACCATTAAATTTCTATCGTAACTAGTCGGGTGGTGATATGTTTATGTGGAATTCATTAGCCATGCCACGAGTATTAATAACCTTTGAATGTCTCGATGCACGTTTCATGTGAAACTTCAATGTTTATTTTATATGCTTAGAAATTATGGTGCATTATAAGTAAATTTTTAAACTTAATTAAATTGACATTTAACATTTGTCCAATATTCTATTACATTTTATTTAAAACGAAATTTTATATCTAAAAAATATACCATATAAAATATTTAATACATTTAAGGTTTTTACACCTGATCCGCTATGCCGATTTTAATTAACTTATTATACGCTTCTTTTTATACCTATACAAACTTGTACGCATTCGGGCTAATCTACCAATGTATTCATTTAAATGTCTTGACTTGACATATTATGTAACTTTAAAAAACATAATTTAAAATTATGTCTAATTTGTTTATTAACAAACTAATAGTATGGACAGGCTAAAGTCTTTTAAGTTAAAAGATAAAGTTGTCAAACCATAGTTTCGTAACTTGACAATTAACATAAATAATGTAAATTAAATAGAATTTTAACGAAGGCGCGTTAGGCGTTATTGAATTAACATAAAATATTCCGCAAATGATGTAAATTAAAAAAGCCGTTTATATAAGTGAAAGTAGGTTACATAATAATTAATGATAATTGACACTTGTTAAATACAACATAATGAAGGTAAGTTTGACAGTTGACATTGAAAAAAAAAGTGTAATTCTGTTGTCTTACGCTTACATTTAAAAGTACCAGTAGTAATTAAACCACGTTTCATGATCGTATGTATTAAAAAAAAAGATAAAAGAAACTTTGCATTCTAAAGATTATACAATAAAGTAAAAGGATTAAAATCCATGTAATCTGTGTATGATTCATATTAAAAGTTCATATGTTTCTAATTACATTTCTTTTGTATTTTATTTATTGCCAAATAATAAATAATACTCGTTATAATCGGGTAATGTATATTCTCGCTAAAATAAACCACAATAATAATTACACATTTATATTTCCCTGTACAGCAAGCATTTTTATTGGATCCCTAATTTAATAGCCCTTAATTGATTTCCGTGACATGTTTATGTGACGTCGATAAGTGTAAACAGTCCAAGTAATTACGCTCAGTGTAAATAAGAGGACAGATTAGCGCCATATTGAGTCGTTATTGAGTACTTGAGCCGATATTAGGAGTAATAAATCGTATTATCTATTTATTTGATACCAGTTAAGCGTTAATAATCTGTGACGTTCTAGACGATTGACCGTTAAAGAAGATAAATACATCTTAATACAATAAAGCTACAAGGCTGATATTTTTATTAAACAAATTAAATATGTTCAGTAATGCATTTTTATTTAATGCATAGTTAAAGGTAATATAGTATACCTTCATCAATGTACTTGAGGACAAACTGCACATCAGGTCCCCAAGCAGATGCCACCTCCAATGGTGATTCTGCATCGCGTAACACGTGCACTGGAAGAATGGAAAAAACAAATTAAATTTATTATTTACAAGCAATCAAAGACGATATTATATAGCTTTATATTTTGTATAAAATACATTTTTAATTCGTATTAACCAGCTAATTTAGGTTACTTTTTGCCTACAGGAAGACTGGTCGTTATAAAAGATTCGCTATCTGTTTTTGTAAGTGACAGATAATTTAATATTACAAATGAAAAAAGGTAATAAACGAAGATAACTTTTTATTGTTTAAATACTTCGTTTGAATTATAATAAATATTAAATTTTAACGTTTATTTAAATTCTTATTAGAACTCAATAGACGAACTTGTGAAAACAATTTATAAACCCCGCTTTCATTGCCGTTGTCAAAACAGTCTCAAAATGTCAAAGAAAAGTTCTTTCTTTTGAATTGAGCACATTATGATTAAGGCCTTAATATCTTTTCAGAAGAACAATTTTCAGATAAGTGAAGATATCTTCGCATAATTATTGAAATTAGCGTCAAATTACTTTAACTTCGCACTTGGATTTTTTACATTTCAACAAATACCTCGTCCTTACATTACAAAGGAAGAGTCTTACAACTTTTCTTTACAAGTATTCATGTTTCGGTAAATTACTTCTACAAGTATTGTAAACGTATTAATACAGATTAACATAATCTTTGAAGGCTTGCATTAATTGTTTAGATTGTATTATTATCACACTTTTAAAATTATCGTAAACATGACAAAATCACTCTAACCCCACTAAATCGAATGATACTTCACCATACAGTCAAAAAGTCATATGCCAAATTACCGGTCACAATTTTTTCTTTTTTATTAGAACGGGAAAACGCAAGAGGCTCACCTGGTGCTAAATTATACCACAGCCATACACTGCTAGAAGGCTCGCGCAAGTGCGTTGCCGACATTTTAAGAATAGATACGCTCTTTTCTTGAAGGAACCCAAGTCGAATTACTTCGGATTTTTTCATATAACAGGGAGCGAACGGGCTCCATTGATTGTAAGTGATACCGCCCATAGACCCGCAATTGCCTTGCCGGCCTTTTAAGAATGGGTACGCTCTTTTCTTGAAGGAACCCAAGTCGAATTACTTCGGATTTTTTCATATAACAGGGAGCGAACGGGCTCCATTGATTGTAAGTGATACCGCCCATAGACCCGCAATTGCCTTGCCGGCCTTTTAAGAATGGGTACGCTCTTTTCTTGAAGGAACCCAAGTCGAATTACTTCGGATTTTTTCATATAACAGGGAGCGAACGGGCTCAATTGATTGTAAGTGATACCGCCCATAGACCCGCAATTGCCTTGCCGGCCTTTTAAGAATGGGTACGCTCTTTTCTTGAAAGACCCTAAGTAGAATCAGTTCGGAAATACTTGGGCCGCTGGTTCCACATTGTGGAGCACGGCAAAAAGTACCTTAAAAATCGCGCAGTTGTAGAACAACGGACGTCGAAGTTGATATGGGTGAAATTTCACATTGGAGAGACCACCAACACTCTTCAAGTTAAACGCGTTAGAAGATGCAGAACCGGGAAAAAGCCGCTGGTCGTCGACAATTGACTTAACAACAATAACACTTCCGGTTTGACTGTCAATATATGGGTGCGCCGTCAAATATGTTGTTTTTGTGAATTTAAGTCGATGACATTTCCGTTTTGATTGGTTTATTACCACTTATTACCACTACAGGATAAAACAATGTATGACCAATTAGATTTTTCTTTCAAGAACTAAACGAGTTACTATATAAAAATATTGATTAGTCTAGGATGCAACAAAGATGTTTGCTCAACTTTTTGTTAAACTACTCAGATAGAATGAAGAGGTTTTTTAAAAGTTAACTTAAGTGAAGTTGTGGTTATGACTTAATTTAATTCTCAACGTATCTTTAAACGTTAAAATATTAATATTTTAGCTTCATAATTCCTCGAATTATTCAGTCTCTATACTCAACTTGTAGGTTAAGTACAAGCTGAAAAAGTTAACCAAGTTTTGTGTAACTATTTGATATTTTGTGATACATTAAAATTAATATCAAATAGGCTTTTTCTTAAAAATATTAAGTAGTATTTTAATTAATGTTTAATTTCATATTCTTCTATTCTTTTTTTATACTTAATTTATTGTAATTAGTAACTTGTTGAATTGTAATTGTATATTGCCAAAGTGTTTTCTTCATTATGTTTAGGTGTAAGAAAAAAAACATCAATATTTATACATATTTAGTTTCATTGGCCAATCGTAATATATATTAAATGAATGTAGTTTACTTTAAATTTCTTTTTGTTGTTTCTAATAACAATCAAGCCATTGCGTATGTACATAAAAGCGCCTTTATGAAACATAAAAGCAATAATTAACGTCGCCCGCGCAGTCGACTAAATTATTTCAAAGGAACTTTACGATATTATAAAACGATTTTCTCGTTATTTATTATGCATAACATGAGGTAGCCATTATTGTTCTGGGAATAAAAAGACAATTAATTCATATGAGAGTAGCCGCTATATGTTTGCATAAGTATACAAAGTTTCTTTGTATGAATATTCGTTCAACATGTTTGTTAAAAATTCATTACATGTTGCGCTGCTCTGTATCTACAATTTCGATTATGATCCAATAATCGTTTTAGGTTTTCAGAACCTTAGATTCAGCACATGTTTGATACTAAGCAAAACAAAAAGTGTAAACATCGCTGATTTGAAATTGAAGTAGGATTTAAAGAATTTTTAAAAAAAAAAAAAAAAAAAAAAAAAAAAAAAAAAAAAAAAAAAAAAAAAAAAAAAAAAAAAAAAAAAAAAAAAAAAAAAAAAAAAAAAAAAAAAAAAAAAAAAAAAAAAAAAAAAAAAAAGAAAAGGAAAAAAAGGAAGAGAGAAAAAAAAAAAAAAAAAAAAAAAAAAAAAAAAAAAAAAAAAAAAAAAAAAAAAAAAAAAAAAAAAAAAAAAAAAAAAAAAAAAAAAAAAAAAAAAAAAAAAAAAAAAAAAAAAAAAAAAAAAAAAAAAAAAAAAAAAAAAAAAAAAAAAAAAAAAAAAAAAAAAAAAAAAAAAAAAAAAAAAAAAAAAAAAAAAAAAAAAAAAAAAAAAAAAAAAAAAAAAAAAAAAAAAAAAAGAAAAAAAAAAAAAGGGGAAAAAAGAGGGGGGGGGGGAAGGGGGGGGAGGAGGAAGGAGGGGGGGAGAAGAGGGGAAAAAAAAAAAAAAAAAAAAAAAAAAAAAAAAAAAAAAAAAAAAAAAAAAAAAAAAAAAAAAAAAAAAAAAAAAAAAAAGAAAAAAAAAAAAAGGGGGGGAAAGGAGGGGGGGGGGGGGGGGGGGGGGGGGGGGAGGGGGGGGGGGGGAAAAAAAAAAGAGAGAAAAAAAAAAAAAAAAAAAAAAAAAAAAAAAAAAAAAAAAAAAAAAAAAAAAAAAAAAAAAAAAAAAAAAAAGAGAGGGAGGGGGGGGGGGGGGGGGGGGGGGGGGGGGGGGGGGGGGGGAGAAGAGGAGGGGAAAAACGAGGGGGAGAGACGACGCGGGGGGGGGGGGGGGGGCGGCGCGCCCCCCCCCGCCCCCCCCGGGGGGGGGGGGGGGGGGGGGGGGGGGGGGGGGGGGGGGGGGGGGGGGGGGGGGGGGGGGGGGGGGGGGGGGGGGGGGGGGGGGGGGGGGGGGGGGGGGGGGGGGGGGGGGGGGGGGGGGGGGGAGAGAAGACACAAGAGAGGGGGGGGGGGGGGGGGGGGGGGGGGGGGCGAGCCACCCCCCCGCCCGCCCCGCGCCCCGCCCCCCCCCCCCCCCCCCCGCCCCCCCCCCCCCCCCCGGGGGGGGGGGGGGGAGGGGGGGGGGGGGGCCGGGGGCCCACCCCCCCCACAAAAAAAAAAAAAAAAAAAGGAGAAAAAAAAAAAAAAGAAAAAAAAAAAAAAAAAAAAAAAAAAAAAAAAAAAAAAAAAAAAAAAAAAAAAAAAAAAAAAAAAAGAAAAAAAAAAAAAAAAAAAAAAAAAAAAAAAAAAAAAAAAGGGAGGAGGAAGGGGGAGGGAGAAAAAAAAAAAAAAAAAAAAAAAAAAAAAAAAAAGGGGGGGGGGGGGGGGGGGGGGGGGGGGGGAAAAAAAAAAAAAAACCAACCCCCCCCCCCCCCCCCCCCCCACCCCCCCCCCCACACGGGGACAAAAAAAAAAAAAAAAAAAAAAAAAAAAAAAAAAAAAAAAAGGGGGGGGGGGGGCGCGGGGGGGGGGGGGGGGGAAAAAAAAAAAAAAAAAAAAAAAAAAAAAAAAAAAAAAAAAAAAAAAAAAAAAAAAAAAAAAAAAAAAAAAAAAAAAAAAAAAAAAGTTTGGGGGGGGGCCCTAAAAAAAAAAATTTTTTTTTTTGGGGGGGGGGGGGGGGGGGGGGGGGGGGGGCCGGGGGGGCCCCCCCCGAGGGGGAAAAAAAAAAAAAAAAACAAAGAAGGGGGGGGGGGGGGGGGGGGGGGGAAAAAAAAAAAAAAAAAAAAAAAGAAAAAAAAATTTTAAAAGGATAAAGGGTTTTTTTGTTTGTTGGGGGGGGAAAAAAAATAAAATTTATTTTTTTTTTTTTTTTAAAGAAAACCAAATTTTTTTTTTTTTTTTTGTCTCCTTTCCCGTCTTTTTTTTTTTAATTTTATTTTATTTTTTTTTTGGAAAAAAAAAATTTTTTTTTTTTATGGAGGAGGGGAAATTTTTTTTTCGCGGGTGGATAACCCCCCCCCTTTTTTTTTAATGCAATAGGAGGCAAACGGGCACGAGGCTCACCTGATGTTAAGTGATACCGCGGCCCATGGACACTCACACTGCCAGAAGGCTCGCAAGTGCGATTCTGCCCTTTCAAGAATTGGTACGCTCTTTTCTTGAAGGACCCTAAGTCGAAATGGTTCGGAAATACTTCAGTGGGCAGCTGGTTCCACATAGTGGTGGTGCGCGGCAAAAACTGCTTTAGAAAACGCTCAGTTGTGGAACGCCGGACGTCGAGGTGATACGGATGGTATTTAGTATTTTGCCTAGACGTCCGATGATGAAACTCAGCTGCAGGTATTAGACCGAACAACTCGTCTGAACACTCTCCATGGTAAATGCGGTAGAAGATGCAGAGAGACCCTACATCATTATGCAACGCCAAGGGATCAAGCCGCACGGAAAGTGACTGGTCGTCGACGATTCGAACCGCTCTTCGTTGAATGTGGTCATGTGGTGGAAAGGGTCAAGTGGAACGAGCTGGTACTGGGGAGCTACCGCCCAGAGGTGAGAACAGTATTCCATGTGGGGCCGAATGGTTCTCAACTCCTACATCTGTCAAGACCTAATGAGCATAAAAAAGCTGAGTATTTGAATTAAGTTTGTGTCAACAGCAGGTGATAATGTAAGTGATCTAAACCTTAGGGTGCAAAAGCAACGCTTGAAATGGTAAACTAGCCGTTACAAAGTTAATAAACGTCGCGTGCGCACTTCGAGTCTTGCAAATATTCATTACGCCAAATTATAGTTGTTAGTTGTTGCATGTACTGATGTGAAGTTAATGCGCGGGAACACTGAAGATGGTCCGTTCACAGATCAAATCTATATTAATTTCCTGTACAATTTTTACTTTAGGGGAGATTTTCAATTTGCGCATATGTTTAAATTTTAATGTTAGGTTAAGTTTACAAAAAATATCTTAAAGATCTTGAATTTTTATTCCCGTTATTTTGTGTATCCGACAATTTTTTCTGTTAATGTCTAATGTAAACAGTAAATTAAAAATACTACTTATATTAAGAGATTTTGTAAACCGTGTTTATTAAAATCAAAACACTGTACACATTTTAATTAATTATGGTATCAAATATGTAACTACAAGTTTTCTCACATATAAACTTTAATGAGTTGGTTGAAACAAAAGCACCGGTTTCATGTATTTAACGAGAGTTGCATAATGAAGCATCCTTTTATAGCTTTAGAAAATATATTCATGAAACTTGAATTAGGTTTTCCGAGCTAAATTATAACGCTAACAAGTCTGAAGCGGCCAGTTTATAATAAACGATACTTTAGAATATACTTGACAGATGTATGGAGAATTGTCACTGATTATTTGTCGAGTTCGTTTACAAACGTGACCCGCTGTCATAAAATAAAATTATATGACTTATTTAGAAATAATATTATATAGACTTGAGCTCATCTTTAGTCACGTAAACGTTTCCATACAAATTTGGCGTTAAAGGCTCACGCACGAGGCAACCTTTTTCAGCTCAGACCACGTTAGTAAGTTGTACGTTGTGGTCGTCTTCCCTATCGTCGCTCTTACGTTTAATTCTCATTTGCAATACATTTGTAACAAAGTTGTTTAAAAGTTTAAATTACGACTACAGAAATCTTCTTGGTATAATAATGATATAGTGCGCTCCGACTGAAAATTGATCCGTCATGATTCTAAGATAAAATTGTATTTATATAGTTTTAATGATCTGTCACGCTATAATTATTTAATTTAATGTTTTCATGGAAGGTTCGAAGGTTTTCCTTGACCGACGCCAAATGAAAATGAAATTTCGGACATATCTTTCCCACGACATCTCGATAGCCAATTATGGCGAGTCGACTTTTTGCTTTCGAGAAGCTCGCTGATTGGTTTGCAATGACATCACTCATGTAATACCATTGTATCAAGGTAGGAAAAATAATAAAATACCCATCAATAACAAGTTAGTCTAATTGTTTAAAGGTGACTACTTCTCAGTCAAAATAAAAAGAGAGAGATTACACTTTTTAAATTTAATAAGGCTTCTTAAATCGATATAAACGCAAATAATTAGACATTCAAAGACCAGCAGTTTTGGCCAAGCAAGTTACTGAGCTTTTATAAATATTATATTTAGTTTATTAAGTATAATTTATATTTTTTCCTGTGCACCAACGCTTTGTTTGTAGAAACATAGATCCGAGAAGAATATTATATTTAGTTTTTATAAGCCAATACAATTTTTTAATTAGCCCATCTAGTGTTTTCTATTCTATATTTTTAATACAGCTTATAGTCATTATAAATAAAGTTAAGTATTGACGTAAACTTCTCTTGTTAATACTTTTTTGATGGGAACGTTTGGTTATACTTACTTATATTATACTTACGTGTCTTCTTGTCATAAAATATATATGTCATGTCAGCCATAGCCCGGTACAAAAATAATATTTTGTGCTATATCAGCTTCTAAATTATTTTCATACTTTTAAATATTGCATTTAATTTAATTAAATTCCAGCAATTTAGTAACAAGAATTATCACAAAAAGAATAAAAAAAACAATGAAATGTTCGGCTAACACATCCCTGCTATATGCATATAAAAACCTGTATTGTCTATCCAAAATTCATGAAGCATCGCTTTTATTCACCTTCATACTAACAACATAGATGTTCTTGAACTAGGTACTTTATGTATCACAGATTCCATTTACGAGTAAAAGGATGTAAGCTAACAAGTGCTTGATATAAAAAGTACACCGCTATACAATTTTGTGTCAAGCTGAGAATGTAGGTCTCAACCATCCGTTACGACACACGATTCCCTTAATAGCCCTTAAAACGGTTATGGGCTTGTATCTAAGATTGCTCGTACTTCTTATAACTTCTTTGGAAGCCAAAACGACCGAGTTCAATAGGTTCATGTAGAAGTACTGTAATTTTGGCGTAAATCCTAGATATTACAAATACACAAAAAAAAGTATTAAAAGCCATGATAAAAAATATAAAACCCTTGGACGCATCGCGTTTAAAACACGGTGAGTGACTATAAAATACATAAAATATACTCAATTTATCATTTGACCAAGTCTTAAAGATGGTAGATGCTATACCTCCATGGTGAGGATGCACGCTGATAAGCAGGCAAGGCTCGTCTCCGGGCTCGCGACAGCAGTCCAGCACGTCCCGGCTGGTGGTCTGTGGTGTCACAGGCACCGCTGTGGGTGACCATCCTGCACCGCTCTCGCACCACACTCTCACTATAATCTGTAAAAGTAAATTATGCAAAATTTAAAACAACGACGTGAACGACCTTTGTTGTTGAGTGAGTTTCCCAGTCCAACAATTTCATTTATTAGCGAGTATCATTATTTAAAGGAAATTCAGTTTTACCGGATTACGAGTCAATTATCATGGTTTACAATTAATAAAACATTTGTATTTAATATATTACGATTATCGTATATCGGAAACTATTGTTTATGACTTATGTACGAGTATGTGTACTAAGCTTTTGAAACATCCTAAGTTGTTGAAAGCTCTAGTGTATTTATGTCTTAATAACCTGTACATTCTTGCAAAGACTGACTGACAGTAAATGGCTGTAGGTACTAAAACGGAGTAGATAGTAACATTATATGGAAGAAAACGACTTCTATACACGAGAATATAATAGTTGCTGGTGACTTCGTATACGGTTATAGAATAAAAATGTAGTTCCTTTACAAGCTTCCACGAGTCGGGTATACGGTTATGGGGTGTAAGAAAGTGTATGAAACTTTTGCGTTTTATTATTACTACATATAAAACGGGCTTACAATTTTAATTTTAAATTAGATGACGGCCATTAGCTTGGGTGATAGTAGTCGGTCAGCGTGTCTAGTCCAATCACAGACAAACGACACAATCCGTCATGTCGTTTAACGAATCGCGTTAAAGTGGAAGTCACCACTTCCGTCATTTGACATTCTATGTCCAATTTTTTTCGATTTGCAATTGGCTCCAATAAAGCAAACATATTTTTATAATAGTTTTGCAAAAGTTACTCTTTTGAATTTATGTTCAGATATGTTAAAAACTCCCATATTTATATATGTATAGCTAAAAATTTCACATGGATTCCAATCATAACATTAAACAAGTCTTCTACGCATAATTAATATTCTAGACCTTATGAATATATCACTTGCACAAGCATATAGAGTAATTATTGCTAAAGTCATTGAAACACAGGAACAACTTAACTTCGGCTGTTAGTACCACAAATAGAAAATAAGATTTCTATGTTTATTAAGCAAGCGTTAATTAATTCATTGAATGCGAGATTTAATTAAATAATCAAAATTGTATAGAAACAGTTTGTATTCATTAGCAAGTGCTTTCATTTACAACTCTATTAATTAGTACAAACTATCCTAATTGGACGGTAATGGGGAAACTGGGGATGCCGCTTTAAAATGAAAAACTGCACCTATCGTTTTCCGATCATATGTAATCATTTTAAGAGTATTGGCGACTTGACTTGTTCTTTTAAGTCGGAATGCACAGAATGTAAACCATTTACTTGCCTAAAAAGAAAAATTATTAGCAAAACAAAAATTAGAGGTATACATTCACTTTCATACCAGAAATGCCCCATTTCAATATTGGACTTGGATTACAAATTAACTTGAAGAAAATGTGTGGTGATTTATTATTTTTTATTTATTAATTTACATATTTGATTATTCATTTAGTTAACGAACACTATTAGCTTAAAGAAACTAAGAAACATTTAAACGAACTGAAAATCTTGTAATACAAGTGCATGATATTGGAAAATATCAATAACAATACTGTTATATTTTTTTTATTTCATTCCATCTCGCATTTTTTTAAATCTATTTAAATTGTCAGCTGTAACAATATCATCTGTAGTAATGGTCCGTACATAGTGGTTCCCCTGGATGGTGCAGATTCTGTTGATGCAGCAATCATATTAGCATTAGTTCCAAAGTAGTTGTTGCGTGTGTCTCTTCCTGTTTAGTACTATTTGTTAATTATATTTCACATAAACGAATATTGAAGAGAATATTGGATCTAGTTCTTTCAAATGTTGCTTTGACTCTTCGGGAAGCAGATAGTCACCTAATTAAAAAAGATATTCTGCACCCTCCACTTGTAGTATGTTTGGCTATGCATACTTGTAAGTCTGTTAAAAATAAGGCAGCTACTAAATTAAACTTTTTTAAGGCAGATTATACTGCAATTAATAGTCACATGCATAACATTGATTGGATAGAAGCGCTAAATGTAAGTGGTAACATAGATGACATGGTTGCAGCATTTTATAACAAAATTAATGGGATCATTACAGCTCATGTGCCTCGAACCAAAATCTTAAAATCTAATTATCCGCCGTGGTTTGATAAAGCTACCATTAGACTGCTTAAAGAGAAAAATAAGCTTCGAAAAAAATTTAGAAAATTTGGTAACCCACGTGATGAGTATGAATTTAAATTGCTTCGTACTCGTTGTGATAAACTAATCAGCAATAAATACAAAGCATATATTAGTAATGTTGAAAACAATATATCTAAAAATGTAAAACATTTTTGGAACTTCATTAAACACAAAAGGAAAGACTCATATACAATACCACAAGAAATGTATCGAGGTGGTGAAAAAGCCACACAAATTAGCGAAATAGCTAATTTATTTGCGGAGCACTTTAAATCAGTTTTCAGTAGCAATGATATTAGTATAATAAGTGAATCTCAATATCCCACTATGTGTAATGTCTTACCGTTGTGCAATGTTAGATTTTACTGAAAAAGAAATTGAAAACAAAATTAAGACTTTAGATATTTTTAAAGGGTGTGGTCCTGATGGCATTCCCCCAGTTTTTATTAAAAGTTGTTTTTCTTCTTTAACGATACCATTAAACTTAATTTTCAATAAATCACTAGAACTAGGCACGTTTCCGACAATGTGGAAGAAAGCTAGAATCATACCGATATTTAAAAAGGGTGAGACAAATATTGTTACGAACTACAGACCTATTTCTATTTTAAATACATTTTCTAAGATTTTTGAATCGCTTCTATGCCCAATACTCAAATCACACTGTAAAGTTTTTGTAGATACTGCTCAGCATGGTTTCTGTGCCAAAAGATCTACTGATACTAATCTCTTTGAGTATGTAAATTTTTTTGGCAAATGCAATTGATGAGAGAAAACAAATTGACTGTATTTACACAGATTTTTCTAGTGCCTTCGACAAAGTTAGTCATAGTGTTTTATTGAAAAAGTTGGATTACTTATATGGTATTGGAGGGGGTTATTAAAATGGTTTGCGTCATATTTGACAGATAGAACTCAGTTTGTGGCAGTTGGTGGTATAGAATCGCAATCGTACATTTCCACATCAGGTGTTCCACAAGGTTCTCATCTTGGTCCTGTCCTATTTACTCTTTTGTAAATGATATTGGTTCGTTTGTTAAATATAGTAATTTTTCCTTGTATGCGGATGATATGAAATTTTTTAAAGTAATTAATAGCGCTCAAGATGTGGAGTTATTGCAAAGTGACGTAGTGGGTATACAGAGGTGGTGCGATCATAACAAAATGGTTCTAAATGCCAAAAAATGTTCAGCAAATTACTTTCTCTAAAAAGAAACTACCAGTCCCCTCTAAATACACTATCGACGGAGTACTACTACTGCAGGTCAATGAAATTAGGGATTTAGGAGTAATACTAGATAGTAATTTATCGTTCATACCACATTACAATGCAATAGTAAATAAAGCTTCTAGAATGTTAGGTTTCATAAGGCGGTCGACTAAGTGTTTTAAGAATGTGAAGCCTAAAATAATACTTTACAATTCTCTTGGTCCGTAGCATTTTGAATATGGTAGTGTTGTTTGGAACCCTCAATATTCTGTCTGTTGACAGAAACGAACGAATTAACCGCCATTTCTCCAAACATCTATGCCGAATAAATAATAACATTAGCTATAAATGCGAGTATGAAAAAAGACTAGCTTTCTTTCACTTACAATCACTCCGCGATAGACGCCGCCTTATCGACATTATATTTGTTTACAAAATTTTAAATAACTTGGTAGATTTACCTAATGTTTTAAGTCAAGTGAACTTCCTCTTAAAGAGGAACACAAGAAACACTTCAATCCTTTTTACGTTCGGGCAGTGAGGACCAACGTCGGTTGTAATGCTCCTCTACACAGATCTCTATCGACATTAAACGACGCTCTGAGTACATGCCAAGCAGATCCATTTAGTGACAGTCTCCATGTCTTCAGGCGTAAGATGCTGCAGCCACTGTTGATTCGTGACCAATAGTGATTATTGCAAAGTAGAAAATTATTGTTTTTTTTTATATATAATTGTAAATTGCATGTTTTTTTCTCTTTAATGTTAAGTTATTTTCTCTTCTTTATTGTAATGTTTCCCTTTAAATGTTGTGCACACTTGTTATTGATGCACATGCATGTATCTTGTTTTCTATGTTATGTGTTCTCTGTAAGTGTTTGTATGTGTTTCGTTAGTGTGCCTTTTGGAAATAAAAAATAAAAAAAAATAAAAAAAATAAACGAGTCAGAATAAACCCACTATTAAAATGGTTATTTTCATAACATAAAATAAAGATTTTACGCCTACACAAGAGAAAGTGATGTCACGAAACGGGAGATTTATGTGAGCTTGCAAAATATTTATAAAACGCGTTGCAAAACCCTTCATAGCTCACCAACTAATTATATGGGACGTGTTATTTATGACTTTAATGCCTCCAATACGAGAGGAACAAAATATATTTTGTTTACGTTGCCATAGGTTGTGAAGATTACTGTTTGGCATTGGTTTATTTAGATCGTCTTATACAAATGGAGCTAATGTTTAGGATAATGGGCATAGATTATGTTTTATTGAAGTACAAGTACATTAAGTACAGCCCTGCGATTCTGTAACTCACTTTTCGAACTCGCACAGCGGTTTCGCAGCGGCGGTCGCGCTCAAATCAGTCGTGAAGCAGTCATTTTACGACTTGGCAGTCTGATAAGGACGGAAAAGTGAGTTACAGAATCGCAAGGCAGTACGTGGATTTGTTAAAATTTGAAACTTCTTATTCATAACAAAACTTTATAACCGGGTCATCAAGTCAAAAACTTAAACTGATCTTTATTTTTTCGGCGTCAAATAAATTCGTTAGAATTTTCATTCTTTAGTTAAAGTAGTGTAATAAAACTGAGTAACTCTCACATATCACAAGTAGTAATAATGCTACTTAAATACAATATGCAAGCCCTTCGTACTTTTTATTTCAAGTTAATTTGATACAGATCAATCCTTTATGAAGGACGTACATCTAAGGGGCCGTTCAAGTATTACGTAAGCAGATTTACTGCAATTTATTTATCCCCCCCCCAACCCTTCTCTTGTCAGCAAAAGTATGCTAAGCTCTCAAAAATAATAGTACATAAACGTATTAAGTTTTGTAGGAATACACGAAAAAGCATTTTGTTTTCGTGCATAGCCAATGTGTGGGTAATATGTGTAAAAAAGTTAATAATTACTGTTGACAAATCACCAAATAAGAAACCCCTCCAACCCCCTATAGTCCTTACGTAACACTTGAACGGCCCCTAACCAGATTCCTTATTCTACAGTGTTTAAGTAATTCGTGTATAAGGTCATAAAATGGGGTCTTACTTTTAATTACTATATGTAGAGTCAGACCCCTATAATTTCGACTAGTAATACATAAATATTCCACTACCTGAACTGTTTCTAAGTAATGTAAAATTATGTACGTAAGCTATATTTAATGTTAACCGCAGTCCCTTTGATACAACGGATTCAGCAACTACTTCCTGTATTATGTAAATGCTCTGTCATTTACATTATATATTTGTCATGTATGATTCATGGGATACAACTGACAGCTGAATCTAAACTACATAATGGGACATAACATTAGAAGCCTTAATACAAGTAATAGATACTTGAGTGGCATTGTT